TCAGCCAGCATCAACAACAAAATTCGGTAGGATTTTCAATACAGACGTCAAGTCAGTCAGTTCTTCTATACGGATCAGAATTTGTGACTTGGCGGGTGGGTCACAAAGAATGTTTCCAACAGCCTGTTGCAGACCAGAGCTTTATCGACTTAACAACTGTCTTCGCTGGCTCTATACTGAAGATGAGATGGCCGGGTTGGGTCGGGCGGGAAAGAATCACCAACAAGAAACTATGGGAACAAGCAAACAAGCAAAGCAAGGACCAATCGCCCAACAAATATGAAGGAGAAAGTGGAGATATAAGTATAAAACTTGGGCACTGTAATGGAGTATAACTCCATTATGGATAAGATTTCATTTTGATATATCACACAGTGTTGTACAGTTATATTAACTGAAACGTCATCTATTAATATAACTGTACAACACTGTGTGATATATCAAAATGAAATCTTATCCATAATGGAGAAAGTGGAGATGGATTGGACAGTCGCTGAGGAGTCGCTGAAGATGAGATGGCCGGGCCGGGCCGGGTCGGGCGGGAAAGAATCACCAACAAGAAACTATGGGAACAAGCAAACAAGCAAAACAAGGACCAATCGCCAACCAGCAAATATGCAGGAGAAAGTGTAGATGGATTGAACACTCGCTCGCTGAGGAGGTCGGCTGGTGATATGGCACGCGCGTCAGACCATTGCTCGAGTGGAACCAGGCCGAAAGGTAAGCACGCGGCGAGTGGGACGTCAGTGGAAGGGTGATATGGAGGAGATCGTGTGAAGAGGATTTGAAACAGTATGGACTAACATGGATGGAGGTGAAAAGTACAGCAGCAGAAGACAGAAGTGGCAAGTGGAGACGTGCAGTTGAAGCCCTATGTTCCACTGGGAACCCAAGGGAACAATAATAATTATATATATAGTTATATTCTTCAGCCATTATCTGTATCACACCACCACAATACTACCTGGTTACTCAAGCCATGTAAGATGAAGAGGCGTTCAAGCTTGAACTAATTGGCTGGAAGTTAAGTGCTCAATCCGGTTACACTTCAATCTGTGGAAGATGTTGAAGTCTACACACGTTTGATCGGTATTTAATCAGTATACTAAGTGGAATCTAATCACCTAGTGTTCCTTTTAAATTAGGAAGTTCCTTCTGAAGACTTGCCTGTTTTAGACGAAAATATGGGCGAAACATTCTTGGAATCATCTAAAGCACATTTGGATATTACCGTGGAACTTAGTAATTCATTCTTAACTGAATCGAGCACAAAACTTACTTGGTACTACTTGTAAGTAGAGTGAAATGGGTTCACATAACTTCAAAGATATAATTTCCATCACCAGAAAAATGACTAATGTTTCCAAGGTAATCTCTGTTTACAATATTCTTGATTCATTAGTCCTCCTTTCCCAACCTAAGCCTCCAAAGCCTCAGGATGGTCGGGGGTGGGTGTCTTGCGCTGCGGGCTAGCCACCCCTCCGTACACCTCTTGAAATGCTCCCATATGACCGTGCGTCTTACATAGCCTCTCCTGAGGAAGTCCTACTCACTGCCTTCACGTGGCGGAGGTGTTTCTCGCCGAAGTGAGAGGGCAAAAGCGGATGCCCGGCGCTCTTCACCGGGTTGACTGTCCATTGGATGACAGTCTAGGGGAGATGGCTAAACCCTGATTCCAAACCTCCAACGACTGGCGTATGAAGCTCACCGGAGTTCACCGGCAGACGTATGGACAAAGAGCTTATTGGATGCCCTGGATGTTTGGCCCCATTCAAAAAGGCGTATGAACCGGACTCCGGTCACCGGCTGCCAATGGATAGTGGACTCCCTACTCCACTCCTACTGCCTTGTAGGTCACACTTGGCTGTGTAAAGGCTAGAGCTGCACTCTCAAACAAAAGACCGAGCGATACTGGGGACATCACTCGTACCCAATTCCCATGAAACTTCATGGTTCATGAAGCCGGCTCATCCTCCCGTAGGAGATAGCCGAAGTAAAGTAAAGTAAGTAAAACCTAAGCGTTACTTATCATGTCTCTCCAAATAACACGAGAAAAAGGACTTAGGTGATAAAGGTCAAAAACCTTTCATCTGTCCACGTCGTTTACTTTCAGTAGCTACGTCTGACAACAGCGAAGTAGGATGAAGTAAACTGCTGCGCAGTACATAAGCTACTTTATGAGCATCCATATATCACATCAGCAAGGAAAAATACCCAAGTTAGCAAATGCTAAACGCGGCTTTTGTATCCTAGCCATGGTTTTATTACTAGCCAGCCCTTTGGAACTGATGCAAGTAAGCAAGTAGATGAAGAAATATTTGCATCCGACTATATCGTAAGTATCAACTAGCATATCTGCGAACGGCAGTAAGACGGTTTACCACAATTATCCTGATATGTATGATGGAGATGATCTGTAGCTCAGGTGGATGATTTTGATGTGGCTTTGTTCTCTGAGCTTGGTGGTTAGTTTGCGAAGCTTTCATCACCCTACTGGGTGATGAGAGAGAACAAAACCACATCAATATCCTGATATGTGCCTAACATTTCTGAAACGATCAGTTCTCTTTATCCATTTCGAAAAATCTGAGGTTTCTATTTTCATTCCTTTGTGTTCTGACTGGAACGGCGTACTTCACTCTTTTAAGTTCTAGCAGCAGTGTTGTTTTTAGGGAGTGGGGTTATTAACTTCAATTCCAGTTAATACCGACTAATAAACTAGGCGAGGTTTAGGAGTACGTTGGAGGTGGGAATTTGAACTACACCCACATCATACACTGGAACTTAAGTCTCAAATGTAATTCACCTAGATAAATAGGATTTTCGTACCTCATGCTCTAAGCATCTGACTGACAGGACACCAAATAAATGCTTCTCTATCGTAGAATAATCAACTGATAAAACAGCCTCGGTTTTCTTCAGCTTTTTTTCTGAGGATATCCCAACCAAAAGTTCGAAACCTGATCCTTATGTTCTAAAGAAATCTCGTGTAAGCCACCAGTTCCTTCGTCGACTTAATTTCACATAGTTGCTTATTTGAGTGCACAATCAGTTAGAATTAGATTTCAAATCCACGCTTAACTTCATTTTAGATCTACTTATTTCTTTTCATTGTATTTCATTAGGTCCACTTCCCGATTATTACTAGGCAAGCTAATTACTCATGTGACCTTTGTTTTTCGAACTCCACAGTGCTCTCCAACAAACTTCGTGTTACGATATCTTTCCTATTGAAATATATTTATAACAGTATACAGCACCACTCCTTCTTTAATCCACTCAAAACTGGATAAATACTCTGCTGATGTCACCTCCAACTGCGTTTATGAATTCACGCGCACTTGTGGGAGCAAGTACACTGGAAGGACAGAAAGAAGGGCTTCTATTCGGTTTTCTGAACACATTCCCGAAAACCTGTGCCTGAAAGGAAGCAGATATTCCCAGAGTGCAATTACCAGACACATTATTGATACCGGACATCTCGTAGAGATTTCTAAGTTCTTCAAAATATCAAATAGACAAAGGACAGCAAATTTACTACGATTTGCCGAAGCAATCGCAATCAAGAGACTTAAACCAGACTTATGCATACAGAAAGAGAGTGGCTCTGAAACATGGCCAATACGCGTTGAAGACATGAAAAGGTTGACTGCTTTCGATCATAGATGTCTGCGATCTCTGTCTCACGTTAGGTGGTTTCACAAGATAAGTAATGTTGACGTTAGGCGTAGAGTGTTGGGCAAAGAGGGAAAATCAATCGACGAGGTTATAAAGTTACATAGACTAAGATGGCTAGGTCACGTGGTGCGCATGCCTAACCACCGCCTCCCCCGACGGGCATTGTTAGCTGATATAGGTTCAGGTTGGAAAAGAGCCAGTGGTGGCCAAACAAAAACATGGCATCAATCCATGAAATCCTTGACAGTTAAACTGAGTCAGGTAGGGAGATGCAGACTCCCGGGTTGGGGCCCTCGGGACTCTAGGAATCAATGGCTGGAGACAATAGGTGACATGGCTCAAAATCGTTGTCAATGGCGCAGATGTATTCAATCTCTGTAATCTTTCATATTCCTTTCTACCATTACCCATTCTGTTTCACTCCTATATTTGTCAAACTCTATTAATTCTCTCCACTCATCTTCTTGTCTACCTCTGTGTGCTATTTGGAACGTGGCAACTCGAACTGCTGCACTTCGGTGCCAAGTTCTATGTTGAATCCAGACAGACAGACAGAAAGAGAGTGTGATTAACCTCTCACTCCCTTGGTAACAGAATTTTGATTTTGATTAGTCATCTAATTCAGTGATCTCGACTCACTGAACAAATCTTAATCTCATAAACTGTAACCGCTTTTGTTTCTTGAGTTGCTATGTGAACCTAAAAGCTAACACTGTTCTGTTAATCAATTTTTTCTGTTTTCTCTCTTACCCCTCCCCCTCTTTTCAACTTTAAAAGCGTATAAATTGATGATGAAAACTTAAACTAAAAACATTGTAATGCTTTTATTTAGATGCGTCAATTTTATAGTATCTCTTTTCTACCACCACTCGAACATTAAAGTATGTTATTATCATCTATATAACCATTGTAATTTCAGGTAGTCTACAGCTGATGAGAACCTGTGAAATAGAATGATATCATTTTATACTGCAAATTTCGTCTTCCTTTCTTTATCGAAAAAAATTCAGTTGAAGACCCTGAAAGTGCAGTGCGCAAACCTGTTAAGGGATGGTTGTTAATTCAAAAATCATCTTATACGAAATAACATTAAGAAGTGAAGTTTTTATCAAAAACAAAAACACCATGTTATCTGAGACTGATGTATATATTCTATTTTTGTTCCAGTAACAGATGCAAACTTCAACAGATGGTAATTGGGGATCTCAATTTTGCTGGGTCATTTGACTTTTCTTCAGACTAAATGAAGGAGATATCATGAAGAAGATTTAAGAAGACGATATTTTGTCTGTACAAATTATCTTTACAAACAGCAGGAAATATTATTTCTTTTTGAAAAGAAAACTGTAAGCTTCTTGATCAAAAGTATCTTCTAATTGCTCCTGTAAGTTTAGCTTTGAACGAGGATGACGTCTTAAAATACGTTTCTGCTTTTCTTCTGGTGAACACTCATCCAAATCAACAGGGATCTAAAAAGAAAAAAGTAACAAATGCTTAGACTTCAGATATATTTCAAAAATGTGCTTCTGATGACTATAGAATCTCCATGCTCTTAACCAACTGATATCGTTACTTGCCTATCGTTTCACTAAGTGAGCCGAAATGGTAGTCGTTAAGAACATCGGTGGATAGTGGGTTGTCAATTTCAAATGTGCCTTTTCTATAACAGCCAACCGCGAACAGCTGTTCGAAAGCAGGTTGTTTTTGTCTCTAACAAGGCTTATGGAGTTTACAAGCTTCTGAAGGACAGCCCATCACCGACAGGCAAATGATATGTGGGAAGGGTCCTATGGACAGTTGGAGACTGGATTGTCAGCTGGAAACATATCAGTGTACTAAGTTGTTACTCTTAATTCTTCTTGGTATCAGCAACGTGTAAAAAGCGGGCGCTAGGTGTACTTTTTCAGAGCTAGTATGCCTATCTAAACTACGATTGCTAGGGGAATAAACCTCACTCTCCACTTTTTTACTGGCTATCGATTACACACTGTATGTCAGTATGGAACTATGGCTCAATGGTATAGACGCTCAACTTCTAGCCAGTGGATCACAGGCACGAAAGTCGCTCCACCTACCATTTCGGATTGTGAGGGCGATTGTTACTTCCCGGCTGCCCACACCATGGAAGTTGGTTGCGTGACCGCAGAGCCCAGGGGACAACTGTTTGAGGTCGGTCACACGCCGCCTGTTTTTGTTTGTTCTTTCTTATTTGGTGTGTCTTGGTAGCTCCACCCACCAAGGTTTTAGCATCCAGATATCACACGATAAGTGTAAATTATTGCCCGTAGCATAAAATTGCAATTGGGTGTCAAATAAAATCTTATTTTCCCATTCTCTTTTGAGTACATAAGTAAGGTTGCAAAAGCAATGCTTTTAGTTTGGCCTGCTTAAACCCGACTGTGGTCCTAAACACGTTCCTAGACCTATGTTTAGTGATATCTTTACAAGAATTCGTTAGTCACAATGCTATACGTCAGCAACTAGAAATACTATTCGATGAACGATACACAATTATAAGGCTTTCGGGTAAATAAGACATATGTATAATACTCATTTCATTCCGTATGCAGCAGACTATCCAACAAAACAAGACTTACACTAAACTAACTTAAATAATTTATAGATTCGGATCCTGAAAGCTTGGAATAACAAGATATAAACTTAAACTACATAATAAATAATCACCAGATTACTGTTATGTCACTACTGATCATGAAGACAACCCAAAGCAATCACACACATCTTAATAAGTTTGAAATAATTACTTTTCACGATTGCGTGATGGTCAATCAACACCGGTTATTCACCAGACTACACGACTTAAAGACATTATGGGAGAAATAGCGCGAAGTCAATGAATAATTTCAGTTTTGTGATACGGGGAAATAATAAGACTTTCTTGTTGTCTGAAGACTGCGAGATTTGGACAAACCACACTAACGCAGTCAAGGTTATGATGAAAAGAACTATTTAAATTTCAAAAGCACTGACCTGAAGCATCACTCGAGGTTCATGAAATCTAAGGCGAATGTAGCCACCATTAGGATAAACTAAGTTAACTGGATAAGTACGACTGTAAATTCGTCGATGGATACGAGTGAATACTGCACGATTAGCATTGTTTCTATAAGGTGATCTACAACTTCGAAATTAAGACAAATTTTTGGAACCCACATTAATGGGGTAAGGCTACTTCTTACAACAAGTCCCTTGATAAGTAACATGAATTTACAACGACCCTGCAGTCACCTTCGTTCAAGGTCGCCTCATCAACAAAAACCACCGCTTTCTTGTCCAATATCTAATAGATTTCTGCGACCCAGTGTGAACCGATTTAATTCGTTGTGCTCGCTTCTTGTTTGTGACGTAATGATCCCTTGTCTTTGGTAAACTTCTCCTTGGTCCGTCCAGCCACTCAACTGTTGTAACTTTGGTTGATTCCCAAACTAGTCATGCTGGGATTAATTATATGCAGATTGCTGTATGCACTGTATTAAGATTATGTCGCTACTGTGAATTAAGTTTATCCTTTCACCAGTTAGTCGTCCGGTGTCGTCGACGAAAGCAAAGAGGTAATAGTAATAACTGATATAATAAGTGTAGGTTATGTACACTAAAAGAAAGAAAATGAAAAAAAGCGTAAAAACAGACAGCTTACGAAATTTGAAGTTGATACATATAGTACATGTATATGCACGCATGTATATAAATACCAATAATAATGGTGCAAAGGACGTAATAGTTAGGGTTGTCACACGAGTAGGAAATGAGAGAATGGGAAGAAGTAGAACTATGAGTTTATATGTCTACTCACTAACAGTGCGAGATTTTAAGGGGATAGGCCGTTTAAACGCAGTCCCTGTGTCACTGCGTGGTTGCCCAGCTTTCGCCTAAAGTTGCCCACGGACAGCGCCTCAGCTAGATTTGCCGTTAAGGAGTACCAAGGACGACAACTCTCAATGAAAAGAAATGGGAATGCACTCAGGTCTTTGCTCTCTGGTGAGCTATCCTTCTGGGATTCATTGGCACACCACATTTGTTTGGGTGATTCGAGTCATTTGTAACCTCATAGGTAGTAATCAAGTCCCATCTAAACTGGCGGTAGCCAAGTTTGAGAAGACCTAATTTCTTTGACCATCCATCACATGGTTGGTTTAAGAGACCCATCACGCCTTTTGTCTCCAGTCCTTAGACTCTTTCCAGAAGGTTAGCATCTCTCCTAAGCATTGGGAGTGTAATGATACTGTGAACCTCAATGTGCGGTCTGACGTTTGTATTTTGTACGAGATTAGAAAGAGCTCAGAAGTGAGTGCACCTAACTATACGAAGTGTATAATCGCAGTTTCGAATATAAATATAGAATGGACTAAATACGAGTCAGGCAAAATGAAGTGCATTTTTCAAGCAAGACTCCTGACTTTTAAAATATTTGCAAGTCTCAGAGACAAAATCGTTATTGCTTAAGACATAGAAATAACGAGCTCGGAAAAGAAGACTGTGACCTCTTTTTATTTGTGGAGCATCTCCTGACTATTTTGTTCTCATTTACTGTCAAGGAACTTAGACCTAAGTTCCTACTGCTACGAAGGCGCACCGAACCGATAAATACCATGTACTTTCTTCGACTTTAACTCCAAAACACCAGTATTGTAAGAAGGTAGTTATATTGTTTGGCAATTAAAGTGGAGAACAGTACAAGTCTATAAACAAATGTTTTATACAAAATTTTTATGTTCTTTTATTCGTTTTCGTTCGTCGTCATCGAACTTGCACACAATCGAACCATTCGCGCCATCGAGTCGCTTACCAATGGCTACCATTTCCAAAAAAAAACGTTCACTGTTCACGTCCATTGACATTTACTTTGACAGGAGGATACAGTTGCAGAAATGTTTTCTTATTTTTTCAAAAATCCCGTGTAGTGCTATATGCGGTATATGTTTCAGTTTTTTCAAGAAATATCCCTTTATCTAGGTACTTTAATGAATTGATGCCACATTGATTGAACGAAGTCACTCTGAGTGACTGCACTGGTATTTTCGGGGAGTGATATGATGCATTCTGATGGCCACAGTTAATGGTTTCATAAAGTTTGAAATGACGCAATGCACTCAGCCTACAGAGGATACGGCAATTCACCACGTTCTTGGGGTTAAAGCTTCACAGCAAACTTGTACAGGTCATTATCAAGTGGCAGTTGTACTTCTGGTACCTACTGGCTAAGAGAATAGAGAAGAGGGAAGCCGTGGTGGTTTCGTAAATTGAATGGATAAACGTAAAATATCTGAATTTTTCGGGCTGTTCAGGTGGTGGTATCTCAGTGACCTGTGACATAAAAACCTTTATCCATAAGCCAAATGATCTAATAGTTGTCTTGGCATACTACACAAAGGCATTTATTTTTGAGAACAAGCCTCACGCATTAGATCGACTATCTGCAATACTATAGTTTGACGTCAAAGCAAATACCAGAATATGTCTACCAGTGAGTGTATAAATAACGCATTCATACCAGGATATGCCTACTCCAAACGGATAGGATGTCTTATCGTAACGTCGGTGAAGTCTTTCTGTATGTTCGGGAAAATGTAGGAATTCCATTGACGGTGTCAGGAGAATATGACATTGGCACGAATGAACCCGGGCTTCGTGTAATTAACCCAAACCAAGTACCGTAAAGATCGATGTTATGTTCAGAAGTCCTGTTGGCAGAACCAATGATAAGTATCAAAATAATGGTTATCAGGATTGCTTGAACGCTGATGGTGTCACCTTACGGAAATAGAGGAGAAGGAGTTTCGAATAAAGTCTGACAAGCATAGGAACATTTCCGAGCACGCAATCGATAAAAAGTGTGTAGAACATTAGGAATATTTGTCTCTAAATTTCCCATTCACTTTCAAAGGACTGTGTGCGGTACTGGGTGAGACCGAAGACTTAAACATTTGATTATCACATTGACTCAGAATAAACGTAATAGGAATAATCCAGTTCCCCTAGTAGACATCTGGAAAACTCCACTACCAACTCTGAAGACGCGGCTAAATGGAGATAACTGTAAAACACAAGTTTCGAAGTTGTGTAGCTACAATTTCTGTGGTAATGAACGACGAGTTGAGTTTGAACCTTCATCCAGTAAGTAATACAGCTTCACTGTGTGGTACAGCCAGTGAACAAATCTTTATCGAATATCATAATACCACAGTACCCAAGGCTTTAGGTGTATATTAATTTTGACCTCATTACTGTTTAATTTAGTCGGAAACACATTGTCAATGGAGTTGAAGATTGAACGATCAATTCTTGGTTGTTTGCTCAAAACCAACTTCCCCAATTTTCGCGGAGGCATCAACACGACAGTCATCGTCTCATCGGTCGCTGTTCAGAAAGAAGTCAGCAGTAAACCATCAGAAGTAATATTGTGATTTATTATTGTAATATTTGTTCACAGACCCTAGATAAAACATTATTTTTATCTGTTGGTGTAACAATAAAGAATCCTCGAGTCACCAATCGGTCTTTTGGTTTTCGCGTCCGTTATTACTAAGCGTTTCTGAAAAACTGCAAGGAATAGCGTATGCCCGAGCGTAGCAAGAGCTGGGCATTAACGGTTTATGAGACGTGGCTGACAGTTTCTGATGGTAGAAACAGACTCTGGCGGATTCAAACAGTTGGTGAAAGTTTGGATAGTCACTGCACATCTTTCCTGGTGCCGGTCAAGTCCTCTTTGAACAAGCAATATCTGGAACGTTTTTGGAATTGGGTCAAGTCCAACAATGCCTGGGTCAAAGAAGGAACAGAGCGTCTTGGATGCAAACAGGAAAGTAAGTCATGATGACTTGTCTGTTAATTGTAACGATGTGTCTGATGTTAAGCATGACATGGTTGATGTTACCGTTTCGCCGTTCAGGGATAATAGGAACATCGAACTCCCTAAATTAGAACCGTGGTGTTTTCATGGAAACCCAGCTGATTATTTACAATTTATAAAGGAGTTTGAGATCATGTTGAGTACTTTTTTATTAAGTGATGAATTGAAATTGATGTATTTGATGAGGTATTGCACTGGAGATGCTTCAAGAGCTATACAGTGCTGTAAGTTTATGAAGCCAAAAGAGGGCTACTACGAGGCTACGAGCATATTACGTCAAAGGTTTGGAAGAACTTCGATGATTGCAGGGAAATTATTCGACGCTGTTAAGGGTAATCACAGTCAATTACAGGATGACTCCCAGGCACTCGCTGAGTTTTTAGATAATTTGCTAATTTACAAGAATGGAATGATTTCGATGAATCGCATGAGTGACTTCAACTCGAGTTTTATACTAGAAGTAATAGCAAGACGTCTACCTACTCGACTGCAAAGGAAGTGGGTGAAGATAAGCTCCCGTATGGAGGATGAGGGTATCGAGCCAAGATTTGATGATATCCTGAAACTAGTAAAAGATAGTGTCAATCAATCTATGAGCAGGTTTGCCAGTATATTGAATCTCACCCATAGAATAGAGCAGTCTGAGGGAAAAACGCAATCATTGATGACGAATAGGCCTCAGAGAGATGGATATCGAGAAGGCTCCATGATGTCCAGTAATGCATATAGACCTAGTGAGTGTAACAGGATACGTAGTACATCCTCAACAGATAAGTTGCAAGATGCAAGACAAACACGGTTGTGTTTTACACGTTTGCAAGAGGTGCATACAAAGGTGAACTCCGGGTCTGACTCCGAATTGTGTGACGATAACGGTGCGGTCAAGAATTCTGTAGTTACAACTGGTAAGCCATTGTTGAATAGAGTGTCACAGAATAGAGTTACTGCTTCAGAGTGGAGTTCTGACTCCAAAAGTTTACAAAGTATAACTACTCAGAGTGAAGATATAAAACCTTTAATGATTTGTGAGGAGGAACCAAAATTGTCTACTGCTGTTATTAAAGAGTTTGAAAATGATGAACTTGACGGTAAATTGAATATTTGTGGTAATGATCATCATAGTGCAGATTTGTCTTTGTTTGATCATGATGAGATGAGGGATATGCCTACTACTGCTAAGTTAAATAAAGGTTCTGTACAACTACAACGTGAAGTAGAATTGAACGCAGATGCAGTTCCAGAAGGTGTGCATACTTGTGAGACAGTCAGTGTAATTGATCAGTATGTAGCCCACCTATCATCAGATTATAGTGCTAAGCCCGAACTAGTAGTGAAAGACAGCAGCGGTGGTAA